CACAAAAACTCCGAAAAATGCAATGGGGCGACCAATAAAATATCGTTAGTATTAAAAAATGGTTAAATAAACAACTGGGTACTATTATTGAAAGTAGCCTGAAGGGAACCAGAGTTTCCGATCGAAAAATATTGATTTTCAAAAATTCTATACCATTTCTACGAAGAATTTTATTTTTCCCATATAAAAATACATGGAAAACTTTGAGCGCTCTCTTAATATTTTTTGATCTCAAAATAAAAAAATTGCGGTATACTTTTTTCGATGTAGAACAATCCTAGTGGGTGAGAGCATTACAATTCCGACTTTACTGTTTTTGGACCACCCTAGTGTACACTCATGTTAAAGTGAATAACACTTTTTTATGAACTATATTTTATTTATATACCTAAATATTGTTAAAAACAAGTACTCTGGCGTTTTAATGTATTATCTGTTACTCATGTACATTCATAATTTTGATGTATTTTGGAACGAATTTCCGTCATCCCTTGTCAAATTTGATTTGGAGACAAACCGGTTTCGGCGTTGTGCGATCTTCAGTGTCATTTTTCGTTCTGCATAATTTTTGTTGGTTGCTCGTATTTATACTCCTTGTTAACTACCTCTTTCTTTTGTTAGGTACGTCTTCTTAGTTTTGCAGTGTTTGCGGTGCTCAACAGGTAGATGAATTGTTTTGGCTCGTTTTTGACGTCAGGTAGAAGTCCGTGATTTTTACCTTCTTTGTTTTTGCAGTTAGTGTATTCCCTTCCATGTCTGTCCTTAATATTTTGTTGTTGTCATTTTTCTTCTCGTACAGTAGTTTTAGAGGTTCAAACAGTACGTCCGATAGAGTATTTATTTGCTCATTTATTATTTGTCCTTTGAAGGTCTTCTGTTTATATATTTCCATATTTTCTAATATATTCAATCTTTGTCTTTTATGTTGTACACGCAGAAGTTCTTTTGTTTGTCCAATCTTCATTGGTGTGCATTTATTTTTGATCATGTGATTCGCGAAGTTCGATTCTATTGCAGCCTCTGGTTTTCGTTTTTTCTTATTATAATCCCTTATGTGTTCTCGATACCTTGTTCTTATATTTCGCCCTGTTTGTCCTATGTAGCTGTGTCGGCACTCGAAACTTAACTTGTAAACACCCTGTTTATCTAGCGGGTCTTCCTCGCTTATTTTCTCTATCAATACACTTCCCATAGTGTTCCTTGTTTTAAATGATGTCTGAATGTCGTACTTATGAAAAAATTTGGCAAGTTTATAAGATGTTTTTCCTGTGTAAGTTAGAACTGCCCAAGTTTTTTTTTTATTGTTTTCCTCTTTGCTAGTCTTTTCGATTTTGTGTCCTTTCTTAACTTCTCAACCAGGCCTCTCCTATATCCGTTATTTTCCGCAATGGCATATATTGTATCCAGTTCCTTCTTGTAGTCTTTTTCTGTTAGAGGGGTCCTTTCAAGCCTCGTTATTAGTTGTCTAAGTGCTACATATTTGTGTTGCTGTGGGTGGTTTGAGCTATTGTGTATTATTGTATCTGTGGCTGTTGGTTTTCTGTATATTTCGAACTTTATCTTGTTCGTGGTATTGTTTATTTTAATTGTTAAATCCAGATAGTTAATCTTTCTTTCTTCTTCCGTTTCCATGGTGAATTTTATATTCTGGTGTTGTTTGTTGAGATAGTCTAGTATCTGTTTCTCTTTGTTTCCCTCTATTAGACATATTACATCATCGACATATCTCGCGTAGAGTTTTACTCCTAGGTTGGTCAATAGGTTTTCCAGTTTTTCAGTTATTAGTTTTTTAGTTTTCTCTATGTAATCTTTTTTATCAATTAATACGGTGGTATTGCCTTTGTGCGCTTTTTGGTTAGAACATTGTTTTCCCTTAACTTTTCTTTGAGTCGTTTTATGGTTTGGTTTTCGTCCTTCTGCTTCCTAATTTTCTTGGTCTTTATGTCTTTTTCAATTATGTGCCGACATATGTGTCTGGCGTGCTCCTGTTCTTCAGTTGGAAGGCGTGATATAATAACATCAGTATCCACGATGGTTTGTTCAAGTTCCCTCTTTCGGTTGTGACTTTCAATGTTGTGTTTGAGGCCTTTTTTTAATAGTTATGCTTGCTCATTGGTGTAAACCTCCGTCAAGTTTACAAATCCGGAATGGGATTTCTGTTCTGCATTTTTCATGATTTTGTTGTTGCTTTGCCTCGTCCTCAAGTTATCGAGTTGTTTGTTCAACCTTTCATACTTTTTCTTCATGAGTTTTTTATTATCGGCTTTTGTTTTCTCTATTATTTCCATCAAGGTTTGGATTGGCAGATGCTCCGCTAACTGTAGGTGGATGGCCAATAGCTCCGCATTTGTATTTTCCTTCTTGGCGTTAAGAGTTTTTTAATTCACATTGGATGTAATTGTAATTTTTCTTTGAATAAAAATGTACTGAAAAGTACTGATTTCTTTAGAATGAAAAAGTGTAACGTACTGATTTCGCGCATAAAAAATCTGGCACCCCTATTCGTTCCTGAGAATACAATTGAAAATTGAGTAATTTTCAAAGAAAAGTTGGGGGGATCGGCTTTGTTAGAGTTTACATCCCTGGTAAGTACTCACTCATACTTGCCCAGGTATTCCGGTTATACACACAGATGCAGCTCGCTCAAATTTTCTCCCTTTCCCCCGGTCCTTGGCAACCGCACTTCATCTAGCCCATGTAGCCCGCAGAAGTGCACGCTGCCAGCACAGTGCAAATGTGCTGAGTTTGCCCATCTCTACTCTAAGCTTTAAAAACAGTCCTTGGTCGATTTTTTTAGGTTGCTTCTAATTTTGGATTGTCCCATCTATATGTATACATATGGGGTTTATTATTAAATTTTTTTGTAACGAAATCGTTGATACTCGTATAATAAATGATAAATCCCCATTTTGTTTTGCAGGATAACACTGACTTAAAAAAAGAAGGCTCTTTAACTTCCCAAAAAAATTTCCTGTGCGATGTAAGAGGATACGATTTCGTCGACGAATTTGTTCCACTATACTTCAAGGCATTCGATTCAAATGAGCGTCAATCTTTGAAAGGTAGCATAAATGATTCTAATTTAAATACATTCATTACTATTGCTCAAATTTTTTCAGAACTTTACCAGCGCAATGCAATGCTTACAGTTTCCTTTAATTATCATATTGCCCAAATGACGTCGCAAAATTTTCGACGCATATCCAAGTATCGTGAAAATAGTAGAAATATTTTAAAAATGTCAGATCTCTCTCGGGCCCACACAACTATACATCTGGGCTCTGACCAAATTATGCAAACCTTTTTGCAACTGCCCAGTATACGACACGATTTGTTGACTTTTAGCACAGATACAACGATTTACAATGTATGTATTGCTTGTTCTTATAATCATTACATCTTAACATTAAACACAATTCTACTGATAGGACAAAATTATAGTGATAACAATCAGCGGCGTCTTTTACGATCAAGCACCAAGCATGATGGATAATGACATATTAATGGCATTCACGCGCAGTTTTGTACTCACACCGGTAGAAAAGCACCAAGTATGTTAAAATGTCACAACATAATCTGAAGATGCACGTTTCTTATCATTATCATTATCTTTTTCTTTTAACAGGGGATTCTCGGCAGAGCTATAAAGTACCAAATTTGTAATGAACAACTTAGTATATACAACCCAACGGCCCAGCAAACTAAAAAGGCATTCAAGTATTTTAAAACAGAGGGGCAGAACAATGACGACGAAGTAACTGTAGCCGATAAAGAGCTCTCATTATAATGTTTCAAGAAGTAACAAACCTCAAATGGGTATGGTGTACGCGGTAAGGGAGATTTAATCTAATATTCAAACAATTGCAACGTATGAATTTACTAAATATTAACTTTTATTAGTTTCTTAGATGACGCAAAATGGGACATCAAAAAATCACTTCTGCTTTTTTTAAGTTTTTGTGAGAAAAAACGGATACCTGATACGGCCTTCAATTAACCTAAATAATACCTAAAAATAAATCCCTAAAATAGTTTTCATTTACTTAAAACGAATAGCGGATATTTTGCTTAAATCACTCTTAGTTGCTTCTGAGTGTAGATGCGCGCGAAACTGTCAAATATCGTCTGGGTAAAAACCAGAGATCCGTTTGGGAGCGAGTTAAAGTTTAGAGGGCGAAACGGGTACGGCGTCTGTCCATGTTTTTGCTGTTTTAGTAGCAGCGGCTACCTATGCTCGTATAGAATCGGTTAGTCGCACAATCGTTGTCGCCAGGCTCAACTAACTGTAGGCCTAGGAAACTAGTTATTTCGACGGGGCCAAACCAAAGGGAGCGGAATGTTAGTTGAGTTGAGTGAGTTTAGTGGTCATGTGAAGAGGGGGTTGTTGTCATGTGTGGGGGTTCACATGTCGGCCATATATAGGGTACGTCGGGGTCTAGTCTGGACAAGCTGGAGTTTAACCTACTACAATATCCATTTCCATTTATTATAAAACATGACGTTAGTACACTAAGATCCCAAAGATCTTTTTAGTGCTACTGAAACTTAAGATTAAGAATTAAGCGTTCCCACGACAGTCAGGTCTACGTAACCGGAACGACCCAGATTTATATTTGGCCAAGGACTGTCACTCCAGCAACACTCCCCAAAAACTCTTTGGGGAGCTTTTATGCTGCTACAAAAACAACAACATAAAGAATTAAAATAAGTAATTATCATAACAATTAATATAAAAGACAAAAACAGACAAAACAGAAACAGTATAGCATATGGAAAACCATAAGAATATTGTATTGATTAAACTATACCTAACTAGATAGCGAGCCCCAGAGGAAAAGCGTATAACTTTGGACATCAAATAGCAGTTTAACGAAAATAGGAAAACAAGTTGCTTATCTATATACTATTCAATAAAATGTATTATATCTAAAATGTTTGTCCATGGTTGGTTCTCAAAGCACTGAACCGATTTTAATAATTCTTTTTTTTTTAACGAAGCACTTGTTAAAAAAAGGAGTGTCATTCTTTTTTATTCTTGAAAGAAAAACACCTTATCCTGAGTTTCGCCTAAAAAAAATTCAACCGAAAATTTATCATCCGCCCATAGTAAAACCATGGGGAAACCAAAAGTGAAAAGTGAACCGGTTCGGGGAAAATTAAACTCATGATAGGGCTGTTTTTTTGGAGTAAAGTCATAAAAACACAAAGACGTGCAAGCATTAGACTATTTGGTCGTCAAATATAGCGCGTAGCCATGCGAAAACTCTGCACATCAGTGCCGATCAAATACAAGCTCAGAAACGCGAACGATATGTGTGCGAGCCTCAGTATATCCAGTAAAAAAAAACTGTGGTGAAGTCCTTTATGGGGATAAAGTTTCCAGAGGTGAAATTTTAAGTGCCACATAATTTCTTACACGCAGGGTTGCTTTTCAGCAGTAATGAAAGAAACTTAAGAAATATTAAAAAAAATGCATATATGCATTAATTTTTGCAAGAAATACCATATAATGTATGTACTATGATAAATAATATTAAAAAATGTATTAGAACCACGGTTTAATGTTATATTTGATACAAATTAATTTTGCTACTTGGAACGCTCTGCGCATTGCCACTGAATACTTAAAATTACATCCCTGGTCCTTGTTCTTTCTGTATTGCATCATGGTGAATTCACATTTCTCAGAAATTTTACAACAAAACAAAATGAAGGGAGTATTTTATTTTCAAATTTTTGCGATTTCTATTGTTTAATGTAAATTTTATGTCTTTTTAGGATATGTTGAGGCAACAAAGAAGGCGCAGTTGGAAAATGAAGTTATTAGTATGAAGTAGCATCTCAGGCACATTTGGAAAATTATGCCTATAAGCAAGATGGAATTTGGCAAAGTAAGTGCCTTGTTGCATATCTATGTAACATAAAACTAATAAATTAAATTCAGTTGTGTTTAATAGAAATGTTATAAATCGAGTAGCGTTATTTAAGATCTGCTGCAAATATTTGGCGAACTTTTTTTTCGCCTTCTCAACTTGCTAAGTGACAAGATAAGATGACTGATGATTACTGCAACAAAGATATTTGGAAGATGACGTAATTGTCCGATCAGAAGATTCATTGTGGTGGTGGAAAATAAATAGTTATAAGTATCCGTACCTTCGCCAATTGCGCGTGAAAAGTTAGGATGCTTGGCAACATCAGTAGAATAATATTAAGCGAACGGCTAATGCGTTTGGACGATGAGAAGGCCAAAATGTAGAAATTTTTACATTCGAATGTAAAAAAACATGTGTTAGTTATAAGTCATGATTTAATATCCACCTAACAGCAATTGACAACTGCTCTTCCTGTATGCTTGTGGAATTTAATGTATACTGGCAATCAAAAGTGAGTGTGTAGTATTTGTTGTTTAATATTTGCAATGCTTTTCAAGTTAAAATTTTTTGGTATTTTTTTATAAAAATATGGTTAATGCTTTAATCAAAATCACACCAGTCAAACTTTCAAACTTTATGCATAACTTAGAAAAATTCAACAAACTTTCGTCTAAGCTTTGAACTTTTTAATCTGCAAGTGCAAGTTTAATGCGGCTAAAAAATTGCGTTGATTCTTATTTATTTTAATTGCTGACGGCTTTTTGCACTTTTTACAATGTAAAAAGAAATTTTGTGTAGAATAAAATGCGCAAGACCGTTTGCAAACAAATAAACAAAAATTAACGCTGAAATTTACTAATTGCACTTGTTATACGCCTTAAAACTTTCACTTGTTTCACTAGAATTACATAACCGATCTATCTGCGTACCCAACATTTTTCTACAAATTCAAATTAAAAAGTTAAAAATTTAGATGAAAAATTGTTGAATTTTTCTACGTTCTGTATAAAGTTTGGAAGTTTGGCTAAAAGCATGAACCATATTTTTATAAAAAAAAAAACAAATATTTTAACCTAAAAACGTTGCAAGTATTAAACAACAAACACCATGCACTAATTTTTGATTGCCAGTGTAATTCAAAAATATATATGTATGAACCATAAAATTTGTTCATCGAGTTATTTTTGATTGCGATCGCAATAGCAGTAAAAAATCAGAACGATTGCAATATAGCAATCACTGAAATCACAGATATCGAAAAATCGCAGTATCGCAGTATCCTACACATGAGGAGGTACAGTATTTTTCTTAGCTGCCCATCCTTTGCACGAAAAACTTGTGCGCTTAACTGAAAAAAGAACTTAAACGAATTTACTTTACTACTTCAATGAGGAAGGTATCCGAATCCCTATGAAACTAAATAATGGAGGAGCACTTACCACGTAGAAATTACTGCAAGCGAAATTTTTTCCGAATGGTATCTATATAACTACATTAAATGATAGCCGTTTTCGTTGCTCTGCGAGATGAGCAAAGTTAATTAAAGCTTGTAAAATTAGGGTAAATGTAGAGCCAGTGCAGGTAATCGTAATACTTTCTCTGATAATTAATAATAGTTGCAAATTTTTAAGGCAAGTATCGCTGAAGTGTAGGTATGTTGAATTCATCTATCGGAGCAGTTTCCTTATAAATGTTAAAAATAATGCCGCTGATGCTCATTTTTGGGTAGGTATCTTAAATGTAAGTTCACATTCAAGTATAAAGGCAGCAAAGCAAAATATACTGTATTCGTAAATCGGCATGGCAAACATTCATAGAATGTTATGATGATATGCGGGCCAGACCATCAATTTTATAATGTGAACGCTAGTTTGCCTGGAATGAACCTGTAATTAAATTTCTTTTCTATCTTTTATCACAGATAGCACCGCAAGTGGATTGGCTTGATTTTGCGTCCGGCTCTTTGTGATAAGTTATTGGCAAGTTGGAAGCTGCTGTGAAACGCATTTCTCTCTCACTTTGCGAGAAAGAAATGTGCAATAAATGCAAAAATGATAATTGCAAAGTGCAAAGTTGATAAGTCTTTTTGTGGAATAGGGCTCTGCTTTTGAAACATTCCGTAAGTCACCTAACTCTCTGGTAAAATTTTCTGGTGTTTTTCCTGTCTACCAGCATTCATGCCTTCTCCTTGCTGATATATCCGGAATGAAGGACTTGGCCTGTCTATTACCTTCCCTATCTATCCAGTAATGTCGTGCTTCGTACCATCCAAACTTAGTAGTTTCGCCTAACGGAACTCCATGGCAGATCGGTAAAGGGTCCTGGGCCTATGAATCCTTGTGCAGCCTCTTTTCTGGCGAGAATATCTGCTACGTTCTTGCCCATGACTTCCACTGTGTCCCAGTACCCATATGTGGTATACACGGTTCCTGGAAGCGATCAGTATTAAAATGTGAAGACAGTCCCACACCAGCTTTTAGGTGACCTCGTGCGCTTTAAGATCTGCTGTCCGAGAGTATGTAGATGTGTTTTTTGGTTGCCCCACTTTCCACATACTGCCTCAGACAAAGTTCAATGGCGTGAATCTCGGCATGAAAGATATAGTTACCTTGCTCCACGCTTGTGAAAAGGAGCTGTCTGGGTTGTACGCCGTAGACTCCTGCTCCGAGGCCGTGGCCAGTCTTTGAGCAGTCAGTATACCAGATGTGGCTGTCGTTCCGGGGTTTAGGTCGTTCGTTGTCCTGTTATTCCTGTCGGGGAAAAAGACTTTGAAGTTTTGGCCTTTTGAATAGTTTTATCTAGAAGCGGATTTCATGAGAACTTGTCATCAAGGACAACTCCTTGATATTTGACCTCTTTGTAGAAGTGTATCTTTTCACCTTGAAGCAATGGTTCTACCAATTTTCCTGGAGAAAATGACTATGCTAGTCTTCTTCGGGTTTACGTTTAAATCATTGTTACTACATCAATTGGCGACTATGTTCAAAGCATTATGTAGGAGGTTGGAGATGGTATCTTCGACCCTTCCTCTGATTAGGATGGCAATCCGCATAGGCAGAGTAGTTCATCTACAAGAATGGACCATAGCAGAGGGGAGATCACTGCGGGTAATCTTTCGTAGCTAAGAATCCGACCCTTTCCTGTCCTAGAGTGGATGTATAGTTGTGGAATTAAGGACGTTTGCTATCCGGCGACATGTGGTTTGGTCAACCCC